TATATATATATATATATATATATAAAATTTAGTGTTTCTGAACTGTACAGATAACGTCTTTTGATTTTTAAAGTTGTATTGTAGCTATGTAATTCCAAAATTAAAGCATAAGCCATCACTAAAATTCACCAGAGACTAATATTCTTTCATGAAAACTGTTCATCAACAATTTATAAAGTTCTACTTTTAATTATTTCAAATTGGTTTTTAAGTAGGATTTTTATTTAAATTGTGTAGTAGTTAAAACTAGTTTAAACAAAGATTAAAAAAATATTAAACCATTCCTTTATGTACAAAGCCTCTGGCACCACAAACATTAGTGATATAACAGAAAAGAACTCACATGGTTTAGCACATTTCACAGAAAACCTAAGGTTCATACATAGCTAAACACTACCTCTCTTCTATTCCACTGGTTCCTTCAGAGTTGACCCTAGCTCTACGTGCCATCCTTAATAACCACTGCAACATTTATCAGTGTTCTAAGTACTCTGATATTTATATCTTAATTTTTAAAAGTTTCATACCACTTGAAACATTTACTCAATCTCTTATGAGCTATGCCATACATTTCTCTCACAAAGTGCTCACTTTCCTGAGCTATATTAAACACCTTATAACAGGTGTATTTATAACTAAAGACCCTAAAATGTCAGGTTTACATTTTAAAAAATGCATAGAGAACATTTCAGAAACCTATTAGTATACTTCTTAGATGTTAGAATACAAAGGTTGTTTCCTTCAGACTATGAAAACCTATTAGTATACTTCTTAGATGTTAGAATACACAGGCTATTTCCTTCACTATGAGCTATCTTGTTTTCATAAGTGGATATTACTTTCAAATATGAAACCACATTTTCTGTTAATTTTTAAACATTTGATTGTGATTAGACTACAAAAAAAGGAATCACCCGACTCAAACTGTAGGCATTCCAACAAACATCATTCATTATAAGCTCACTGAAGATACCAAATTTCTGTGCCACAAAGTAGAATTGTATCAGAACTAGAGCAAATAAACTTTTATTATAATACAGTTTCTTAAAATTAAGGTGCTAGTTATTCATCATGCCCTATATCATGCAGTCCTTACCAAGTAGGCATCATGTCTGGAAACCACACCCTGCCAAGATGCTTAGACACTTCCCAGTGAATCTGCTCCAAACTATACTTCTGGTCGGGAATTAACACTTCTTCCATAATGGATAACTGCGACAGGCGGCCCCCACACATCTTCACAAACTCAACAAAGGCACTGCATGAGACTTCACATTCCCCCAGCCCAATAGCTGACAAATTTTTGCAACGTTCTGCAATACGAATTAACTCTTCATCAAGGGGCCGTAACCCATTGGCACACACTACCAGTTCTACTAGTCTCGGGCAGGTCATGCCCACACGGCCAAGCACATCTTTGCTTACTGATCTCCCAAAGTAAAGATGAGTGGCAGGTATTTCATAACGAAAGAATGGGTCAAATTCTTCTTCGTATAAAAAAAAATACATCACTAAGTTCACTTTGGGCGAGTGTTTGATGAAGGCATCCCAGCTGCTCTTCTGAATGGTATGAAAATGTGTCTGTCCAGGGTTCTCACTGACAACATCAATGCGCAAATGTTCTAAGCGAACGTGTTTTTCAGAAGACAATGCGAGTAACAATTCATCACTTAGCAAATGGTAGTTCAGGGCCAGTTCTCGTAAACCGTGACACTGATCAGCCACACAAAGAATACCTTGGAAGAAAAAACAGCCCGATTATTTATATGTTTTTGTATACTTTATCTGTTCAAATGTTTAATCTAGTGCATGTCCTATAAAACAGCCATATTTCCCTTTTCACTAACGCAATTTTTAAAATTTGGCTGTGATAATGATTAGAAAAGTTAACACTTACCCATATTGTTTATAATATAAAACCAATTCTATATCCTTGTTTATAACTTAGGAATACTGTAACTGTAATTTTAAAAATGTCATAACTAAGATTTATCCTAGAAATGTACAGTGTCATTTTTGTTTGTTCCTTATCCAGAACTCACTATGTAGCCCAGAGTTGGCTTCAAACTCAGTTTTTTGGAGTATCAGCTGCCATATTATAAAAAATCATTACACTAAACTTACAGATTAAAAAAAGTTCCACACACAACTGGAATAGAGACTAGAGGACAGTTTCCAAAATTAAAAATGTAATCCTAATATAAACACAATATTTGCAAAGTAAGAAAAAATTCCATGAAATGGCTATAGTTTAACGACTAACAGTACTAATAAGCTTATCAAAACTATCACTGTTAAATAAGTCAAAGATAATCACATTAATGAAAATATGTTATGAGCTTTGAGCTCTAAGGAAAACAATTTCTTGAACAGTTCCCACACTTAAGACATACTCATCCAAACTATTATCCTCCAACAAATGACTTTCCCAAAGATCAATATTTGATCTCCAAAGTAGCTTTATAGAATTATGCCCCAAAATGTCACTATAAATGATCCAACATTTCAATTAGGCCACAAAAATTCAATCCAGTTCTTACATTTAGAAACAGGCAAGACTTACAAAACATACACGTTTTCATTACTATTTATTTTGTAAGTTATGAGAGGTACTAAATATGTTTACCTACAAATAATCAAGATCTAAGGAACTAAATAGTATTTCTAGTTCAAAGTAGAGACAACTAGCTAAAGACAGCAAAGTTAGAATACAAAAAACAGACTGTAAATTCATGTACTTAATTACTGCTTAAGAAACCTCGACAAGCCCATCAATAAAGTACAATTTTACAGCAGTGGATGAAATGGGCAATATAATCAGAAAAGGGACAAAGTGACCCATCAAAATAAAGACTTGGCACAGGCAGATTAAAAACCTCTCTATACTACTACTTAGTCACTGCAAATTTCTGTTCTTCTAGGACACATACACTTTGACATACACCCTAACCATCCCAAACAACCTAACCACATCTGCAACATCTAAAAGCCTAATACAAAGAGAAAACATTCAGAAAACTGCAAAGATGCAAACAAGAAAACCTACCCCAACAGCTGCCATAGTCCTAACTCTCAAAATGCCCTTTCCTCTCCAGATCCACTCCCTCATCTCTGTGATATGGCAAATGATACCCTGCCTATCATTATGAAATAAATTTATAGAGGTAATCCTAATCCAATCATGAGCTCTTTTAGAAGTAGAAAAGGAAGTTAGGAGTCAGAGCACAAATGGGACTCAAATGATTGTTTCATACATAAGTAAAAGTAAACAAATAATTAAGCAGACATGAATAGGGACCACCCTCCACCATAAAAGCAGTGAGTGAGAAAAAGATGTCAGTGCAACAACCTCAAAAACACAAACTCACAAACACAATGAAAGTGAATGGAAGTGGATTTTTTTCCTGGAGGTTCCAGATCAAGAGTCCAGCCTGACAGACACTGAGTGCAGGCAGGCTAAGACCCCAAGCACAAAAGCCATCTGATGAGACCTGCCTACAACTCTACCTTACCAAATTGTGGAACTGATAATTAGATGTTGATATAAGCTATTGCATATGTAATTAGCTATGCAGCTAGAGAGACAACTAATGCACAAGTTATGGACATTTAAGTACATAATAACATAATGACAAACACAACTCAATAATAAAAAGAATCTATTTTAAAAATAAGCAAGGGAAAAATACAGGCAAAAACCCAAATAGACATTTCTCTCAGAAGATACAGGAATAGCCACTAAGCACATGGGAAAGAAAAAAAAAGTCATCAAATAGCAGGGCATGGTAGCACAAGCTTTAATTCCAGCACTCAGGAACTGTGAGAGTTCAAAGCCAGCCTGATCTACATACTGAGTTCTAGAAAATGCATCTAGGCATTATGTTTCATGCATGAAATCCCAGAAGTTGGGAAGCTGAGGTAGGAGGATCACCCTGAGTTGAAAGCTAACCTAGATTATACAGTGAGTTCCAAGAGAGAGAAAGGAACTGGAAGGGTAGTGTGTGGGTGGGTGGG